GTGTGCTATATAAATATCGATGTAGGCACGATTATGTGACAAAGGTATCAAGTGCTAATCTTGCCCACAACATCGGGGTGCCCACCCTCGCCCTCAACGCGCACGACGATCCCATTTGCCCCTCTGCGTAAGTTCCACACACACACACACACACACACACACTTTTCGCCCCGCGGCCAGCGAGGAAGCCGTGACAGCGATCATTTCATCTCACCACCCGACCCTTGGCGCCTCTCTGCAGATCGGTGCCTGTGCGCGTAGTGGAAGACAATGAAAACATCATCTTTGGGCTGACCGATCGCGGTGGCCACCTGGCCTGGTTGGAAGGCTGGGACTTCTGGGAAGAGGTACGCCACCGCACACGACACGACCAACGACACGACACGATCAACGACACGCGACCGGCAATGTAATTGGAAATCGTTGTGCGTTCAGGCGTGGATGGATCGGGCGGTGGTACAGTTCAGCAAGGCGCTGTGGAACCAGATGCCCAAGCGGCGGCTGCAGAAGATCCACACGATCACGGACCCAACGACGAGCCCACTTCGGCACGCATGACAGTCGTCAGCCAACTCCTACACACTTCTACTAGAAGTCCCGTTATTTCCTGTATTTATTTGATCACACTACCAAGGTCTCTTCTCTTTCATGTCGTTGTTCTGAACTTGTGTCTGTTCGCTCTGCTGTTGGGACGAACACATTGGTGATGGCCCAGTCCACTGAAAAAGAAAACAAAAAAGCTGGTGGTTGCGTCATGGGTTAGTATGGCACAGGGTGATGTGGGCGGCCTCGCCACAGGGCTCAAGACCCACTTCAGGTCCTGAGCCCCTGCATGCGGGAGGCCACCACACAACGCCCCGCGTCATAGATCATTAACGGCAGTTGAGGTATCGAAGTAACCCATCGACAAATGCACCAAGCTCACACCACAACCCTGGAGCCTTGCCTGGTTGAGGCCTGCCACACCCACCCGCTGCCTCGATTGTGGGACCATCGGCGTGTGCGCTCTTCGCTTTCGTTCTTTATTCTATTTTTCAACTTTTCGTTCTTTCTTTTTCCCTGGCTGGTGAGGTGGTTCAGCCAAAAGGCACAGAGCGTCCCACAATGGATGAAGAAGATCAAGAGTTGATGTAGCAACGTGGCAGACAGTAAAAGGCATTACCAACCGTAGAATTTCATCTCCGGTTCATAGTCTACATCACTTAAAGTGGTGGCCTGCTCGTCCCTCTATTCCGAGGGGCTGAGCGGTTCCCTGCCAACCCCAAAAACAATTTCTACACCAGCAGGACTGCAACATGTTCGACGTAATCAATCAAGGCACAACAAGTTTCATCATGAACTGGCGATGGTTTTTTCAAGCAACATACAACATGTGGGAGCCTTGCAACCAGCAACCAGCAAGGCCTTCACTTTTTTCGGTGATTTCTTCTTCTTTCAACTTAGAAGAAAGATGGAAGCAATACCTACGGCAGCACCAGCCACCTACAGCTATCGACAGAGGCGACAAGAAGCGGTGGCAGCCTCGGGGCATCGCCTGCTCCACCCCTCGCTCGCCCACCTCCGTCCAGTAGTACCCCCCCCCCCCAAGCGCACGTTGGCCATGAGGCTCACGTTGGTCCTCTTCGTCCCCTTCGGCCCATAGGAGCACCTGGTGCCGGGGCTGCGGCGGCTGGTCGCGGATGATAGTACGCCCCAGGAGGGGAGGGACGGTGGTGCTGCTCTCGCGGAGGACCACTGGACAGAGGGCGTGGAGCTGCTCCACCAGTGGCGCGACCTGCACCGTCTGCGTCTGTTCAGCGACGCCTTCTCGCGGTGCGTGCGGCCCATGACACGACACGACACGACACGCACGCAAGCACACCACGACTGTGGCGGTGGTCTGACGACATGTCGTCTCCAGCCAGCTGATCGAGGAGGTGGAGCACTACCTGAACTCGCCGGCGCCGAAGACCAGCGAGATCGTGCTCGAGGTCCGTCGCCGCAGAGTAGTTATCAGCAAACCAAGTGCCGCACCAACTGACCCGATTCCTCATCAGGAGATTGGAATGCAGGAATGCATGCGGGGCCTCGTGGACCGGGTGCTGGGTCCGTTGGTGGCTCGGCTCTATCCCGACGTGGCCGCCGGCTTGAACTACCATCACTCCTTCATCGTACGACGCGCGCCTTCTCTGGGTCCGTAGATCATTGCTGGCTGCACTCAAACTGGCCATTCATGTGCAGATCAGGAACTCGTGGTGGGAGAGCGACGACTTCCAGCTGTGGCGGTACACATGTGGCAGTGAAGGTGGTCGACACACTCCGCTTACATGTAAGGTTGGTGCCGGGCAGATACGTGGACGAAGAGAGCGGCGAGCCGACCAGCAGGCATGTGGACGACAGCGTGGTCACCTTCAACATTTGCCTGGGCGTAGGCGATTTTGGGGGTATAGTTAGCTCTGTGTTGGTGTTTTCTGAGCAGGAGGTGCTGATGTTACCAATCCAACACAAATCTGTGCAGGTTGTGAGCTCCGATTCTATGGCCACAACAAGAGCGAGGACTACCGACGAGATCGCTACTTTGAGTATGAGCAGGTGAGCACTGACCCAGTTGATTCACCTTGTTCATCCGTCCAGGACCTCACTTCCATTTCCTCATCTTGCTGGCCGTTGTCAGGTGCCTGGTGTGGGAGTGATACACCTGGGCAGCAATGAACACGAGGTCCTGCCCATGACATCACCCGGCAAGCGCTACAACCTGATCATCTGGCTCTCTCCACGAAGGTGATCCAAAAGAGACAAAATAATAAAAAAAGCTGCCGCAAAAGAAAATGTTTTTCTTTTCGACCTGCAAAAGAAAGTGAAACAAAAAGGCCACGTCACCATCGGCCAAGAAGATGGAGAGGAGAGTGCACACCGCCGCAGGCGTGCTGGGCGCCACCACGTTGTTGCTGGTCCTGCTGTTGCTCGATGGGACCGAAGCTTCACGATACTGCTCCTACCATCCAGAGGCACCCGAGTGCCGCAACGTGCAACCCCGCTACCCCCCAGCAAGCGATTGGGAGGTAGACCCGGCCCATCTAGAGCTGCAGGAGATGGAGGCAGACCTCGCTGCCGCGATCTCTACGTCCAACGAAGCAGGTGCCGCCGTCATCAATTCAACATCCATGTGCGCCATCGATTCCTTGGATGCCCATCTCGCAGACGACGTGCCACCGTCGGCAGTCTCTACGCCAGCGAAGGGCATGGGAGAGGCCTCCGGGTGGCGCCTGCTACTCACCCGCCAGGCCAGGCCCGTCTTTGAAGCCCTTGGCGTCGGTACTCCCTTTACTCTCTACTCCTCCCCATCAGCCAGGACCGCCGCTCACTACACGTTTCTACGTTTCGTTCGAGCACAGTCGGCGCTGCGCTGGTGACGTTCGCTGTGTTGGCTAGGTGGTGGGTTCACCGCCAGGCGCGGCAGATCGACGCCCTGGAGGACGTAGCGGCGGCTGAGGCTTTGCTGACGCGGCGTGCCGCGTCGCCGTTCGCGGTCGTGGTCGACGCCACGCTCGGGACGTCGCTGGTCTCCGACCTCCGCCGCCGGCTGGAGGCCCGGCTGGCCCAGCTCCACGCCCGGCGGCAGCAGTCGCTCGACGCCGCCGCGGCCGAGCTGGCCGGGCAGGCCAGCGTCGCCGACCGCAAGCACCAGTTCGTCAAGAAGTGGAGGCGCATCCACGCCAAGACCTTGCCCATCCCGCAACTCGAAGCCCTGTTGGCCGAGGCCGAAGAGGTGGTACGTTATGTGTGTGTGTGTGTGTGTGTGTCGTGTGTGTGTGTGTGTGTGTTGTGTGTGTGTGTGTGTGTGTGTGGTGTTGTGGTTGGCTCAGAGACTCAAGCGAGAGGGCTGTTGTCGATCTAGGAATCCGAGTTTGAGGTGGTGATCAGGGAGTGGCTCGAGTTTAGGCGCCAAATCGAACGGGAGAGCACCACGCTTCGCCTTACGATGAGCGAAGACGGCGAAAGCCTCCCCTCTTCGCTGACCCGCTCCACCGAACTGCGCCTGCTCGCCGCCGCACGACCCAACGCCATCGCGCGCTACACGAATGACAGCGACGACGACGACGACGATGCTGTGATCATCGAGCGCGACGACAAGAACAGCAGCAGCACGAGCACGAGCACGAGCACGAACACGGAGAACGAAGGCGAAGTGGAGGTGGTGGAGGGTCAGTACATAGGTGGCGAGAGGAATGCGGCCAAGCGAAGATCGACCAATGGCCCCCTGGGATCGCTTGTTCTCGAAGATTACGGTGCGTCCCCCCTTCGGTAGCCAGGCCACCTATGACCGCTGCTGGCGCTGCTGACATGTTCTGCGCGCGCGCTCTGAATGGAGCTCTGCAGGCGGGGAAAACGACTCGTCCATCGCGCGGGAGTTGGCGCGACAGACCGACAGCGAGAGCTACTTCCGAGTGTGGGAGCTGCATCACAAACACGAACTTCTCCAACTGGGCCGTGAGAAGCTACGACAGAAGCAGGTACACGTTGTGTGCGTGTGCGTGTGCGTGTGCGGTCGATGCGTGTGTGCGATGAAAGTATAACCGACACTTCTGGTGATGTGCTGCTCCAGGAGGACAAGATTCAGGAGCAGCAGAAGCGCGAGGAGGACAACGAAGAGAGACGAAGCCAAGCCCGCCGCACGCTCAAAGAGCAGCAGGAGGCCAACCGGATCGAACAGGAGAAACTCAACCACCAGAAACAGGAAGCACGTACGTGGCCTTGGCCCCCGGTGTGTGAGTGTGTGTCGTGTGTGTGTGTGTGTGGTGGTGGTGGTGGTGGTGGTGGTGGTGGTGGTGGTGGTGTGTTGTGTGTGTGTGCGTGTGTGTGTGATGAAGTGTATTATAGGCCGAGCTGACACCACCGTCATCGGCGACGTTACAGGCAAGGCCGCGGAGGAGGCGGAGGAACGGACGGCATGGAGCAGTCTCCGGACCAGGCTGTTCCTGCACGCCAGCATCTACGGCGGGATTGCGCTCTACCACCTGTGGCACAGCCTTCTCGATTCGTGGCGATCCACTCTCGACTTCAGTTCCACGTGCACTCCCGCCGTACGTCTGCCTTCTCTCGCACCACCGTACACGACACGCGACACAACACGCACGACACGCACGACACGCACAACCGCACACACGCACTGCTTACAAACAAGGTCACGTATGTGCGCTGCAGATTCCGCTTCTCGTCGATAAGGTCTGTCTGCTTGACTTGACGGTCTATCTTCCGCTTCACATCCTCCTTCCGCTCCTCTTGTGCGTTCTCGTCCTCGCCATCCAGTGGGGCGGTCTGCTCCTTCAACTCCCCTCGCTCGCCGCTCTGTGCCTCCTCTTCGCTGCCATCTGGTGCGTCTCCCGTGCCGTCCCCTCTCGTGTGTGCGGCGTGTTGTGTGCGGCATGTTGCATGCGGCGTGTGCGGCGTGTGCGGCGTGTGCGGTTTGGTGCCCCAGCTGATGTGTTGGCTGGCCACCGCAGGAGCAAGGTCCCTTCTGCGCTCGACTATGCGGGTCTCGTGGGCGTGGTAGTCGTTCAGCTCTTGGTCTTCGCCGCTAAGTGGGCCATCGCGTCGAGCGCCAACGATGGCGGCGAGGTCGGCCACGTGAGGCAGAGAGCGCCCCGCCGCCTGCTTGGCGCAGTGCTCACCACGATCGAGGTCTCGCTGTTCGTCGTCAACATCGGCCTCGCCCTCGCTTGCTTCGCCCGGCGTCGCAACGACGTGCTGCACGATTCCTTCACTGACTGCTTCTCTACGCCCAGCGACTTTGGGAGTTGCTACACCTACTACTGAGAGTGGCTCACACTTCTTTGCTACACGAATTCCTTAAAAAGCCCCCTTTGTACATAAGAATGGAATGTGCTTTTAGTTCAGATGGAGGATTGCTAAGTTGTTGTGTGTGTTGTTAAAAAATAAATCGCTTATGACAAGCAGCACGAGACGCGTGGGTATGGTTTCTGTGTGCTGTCGCGCCTCTTTGGTGGTGGTACTACCTGCGACCCTCCCGTGTTGAGCCAGCCCGTCCGTTGCAGTTCCAAATAGGCCAGTCCTGTCATCCAACGTTCACACAACAATCGCCAGTCAAGGGCAAGTTTTGTTCACAGGTGGCTGAAGGCAAAAAAAAAGGCAGAGGCATACCACCAAAGGCTGTGGTCACGTTGCGGTTGAGCTTGGCGCTGGTCTCCAGGAAGGGCACGGGCATGCCCAGGTCGCTGCTCATCTTGCGCGCCAGTGCCGCGCCTTCTTGCGCCGTGACTTCGCGGACCTGGTTTGTCCTGCGCCAGTCGGAGATTGTTGCCGTCTCGTCAACGTCGCATTTGTTGCCTGACGTGCGTGTACGGTGAGTGCGGTGTGTGCGGTGAGTGCGGTGTGTGCTGTGAGTGCGGTGTGTGCGGTGTGTGCGGTGTGTGCGGTGTGTGCGGTGTGTGCGGTGTGTGCGGTGTGCATTCAAGAAACAAACAAACAAACAAACAAATGTGTGCATGAAAGGTTGAAGTACCAACGAGTATCAAGGAAAACGGGTCGTCTTTTTTGATCCGCTTTATCATGGGCCAGTAGCCTTCGATTGCTTCCCGATCAGTGACGCTCCTGAAGCTCTTCCTGTCGGTGACCGAGTAGACGCATAGAAGAGCACTCGCCGCTCGAATCCACTGTAACCCCCAAGCCAAGCATTTGGCACTCAGTCCACACACAACACATACACACACACACAACACACACAACACACAACGTCTGTGTCACACACGCGCACATAGGAGAAAAGACGACAGACAACCGACCTGTTCGCTCAAGGCAGTAAACTCCTCAGGGCCGGCCGTGTCCATGATGTCCTGCAGAGCGCAATGCTTCAGATAAAGGCGGCAAAGAGAGGGGGGGTGGGGGAATGGACGCACAAGCAACACGACCAGGCCATTAACGAGGGCCATCTTCCGGTAATTGTCTTCTGCTCGAAGCGCGCGCGCGCGTGTGTCCCGTTCCACAGGTGTCATTGTGTGCGTGTGCGGCAGTGTGCGTGCGTTTCCTGTGGTGAGTAGAGTACTACTGGGGAGGGGGGGAGGGAGACTGGTCAAGTGGCGAACCGATGGTGGGGTCGTATTCTTCAACGAAGAACTGCTGGACCAGCATGATGGTCAACGCAGACTTGCCCACGCCGCCTGCACTCGCCCACCACCACATGCCACGCATTCATCACTCGCCCACCCACTACCAATCATAAACGGCCACTTTGACACGACACACGACACACGACACACGACACACGACACACGACACACGACACACACGTACAATCGCCCACCACGGTCACCTTCAATTCGTGTGGGTTCTTCAAGTAGCAGCCGTGAGTGAGCTGAGGCTCATATCTAAGGGGTGCAAGAAGCCACCACGCATGCACCCCAAACTCGATCATGTGAGGTTTCGGCCACCATCATCGAGAAAACGTTCGCGCAGAGGGGGGAGGCACGTATCACGGAGCGGATTGCTGAGCAGCGCTTCCTTCAGCACCGCCTTGAAGCCCCTGGCGCCGTCGTCGTCGTCGTCTTCTCCTCCTCCTCCTGTCAAAGCTGAAGCTGCCACCGCTGCCCGCCACAGGGCGTCGTCATCTGCGAACCTGCGCCAACACCCACAAACGCCACCGAGGTCGAGAGGTGAGCAGTGCTCTCCAGAGTGCCCCAAAAACAAACGGTTTGCACGCGGTGCACCGTTTCCAGGCCCGGCTCACGAGCGACAGGGTGCAGCCGACCTCTGAGAGAGGCACGAACAGGAGGACGTGCAGGGACAACTCGGGCGGTAGTGCGGTGATGAAGTCCACCGTGCCTGTGGTACCCACCATAAACACAAACATATTAATACACACATTAAATCTTTATTTCAATAACGTTATTGCAGATGCGATTGCGATGAGGAGGTCGTCGCCGAACAACACGCACCGCCACAACGAGGCGAAAGCAGCTGTGTTGCCGGCACGGCAGCCATTGTCTCTGGAAAGAATGGCGTGTCGTACGGCCAATTAATTGCAGCATACTTCTGGTGGCAAAAAAGGTACAGCTTCAGGCCTGCTGGGGGTCGAACCCAGAATCTCCTGATTCGTAGTCAGACGCCTTTCCATTGGGCCACAGGCCTTGCTTGTTTCGTTTCGCTTTGAGCCTTGGCGCGCAGCAACAAATTATCTCACCTCACTTTGGACCTGCTGCTATTTTTTGGTACCTGTGAAAATCTACGGGGAAACATAAGGGTTGCCCAAAATTCCGGAGACCAAACAAAAAAGTCTTGTGACTTGTGTCAGACTTGCAAATGTTGCCTTATTTTTTATCATGCCCTTGCTGGTTGCTGGTTGATGGTTGTGGCTCACACTGATGGAGCTGCTGGCTGTGCACACAAGTGGCACCTGTGGCCATCATCCACTGCAATTCCTGTGCAGGAGTAGCAGTGATGATGATTGTTGCCATCCCAGACTGGGTTGAAGAGGATCTGTGCTGACACTGAGGAGCTCACTGCATGAATTGAGAACAAGCTCCACAAGAAGGTGAGCCAGTTGACTGTCAAGATAACATTCCAGTCCCTGGGCATCTCCTATAAGGAGGTGGTTCAGATTCTGGCTGATGTTGCCCAGGCTTTGTGATCCTACCTCCTGCCATACTTGCCCCCTGTCACAACCCAATCAAGTACATCAAGTCCCAGGTGTGCCACATGACCATTCATGACAGAGGGACTTTGTAAGGCCACAACAGCAGCACAGATCATGGCAACCAATGCTATGGGCCAGTTCACACACATGATGCAGTTATGCTGTGGGTAGCATGGGTTTGCAGTTGCTGGGTAAACATGGACTTCAGGAGTCCTAGGGTTCATGTGTCAACACCATCAGTTCACATGGACATGTTTGTGACAGCAACCAACGCTGGTTTGAGTCCAAACATTCACCACGCAGAGGGAAGCAAGCAGCTTGCATGGCCAATCCACAATAATGTAACTTCTGACCAAAACAAAAAGAAGGCTCTGTTTTGTACAGAAGGCAAAACGATTTTTCCGCTGCCGGGAATCGAACCCGGGGCGCATGGGTGAGAACCATAAATGTTACCGACTACACCACAGCGGATTTGGATGTTGATGTTCTTGCCCAAGGTGTTCATGTCGTCTAAGGCACTTTGCTTTTCAGGCGTCTTCCTTTTATGCGCCGTGGCGGCCATTGGAGAGCCGAGAGAGGAAAGTCAAAGGGAAAAGAGTCGAGGAAGCAAGGTGAAGGGGCGTGAGATTGATTGTGGGGAGTGGAAATGCTGACGCATGGGAGAGCGCCATCGCTCATTATCTGGGCGTCTTTTCTCCTCATCTCCTTCTTCACATCACATGCTCTCGGTAACCGCTCTCATCTTCTACCTTTACACCTACAACCATTTGGTGGAGGGGGGCTATCTTGTTGCTTCATTCCTAACTCAATCTTCTTTTTCTTCATATTCTTCTTCTACATCGCCCTCAGCCCAGAGCTGTAGAACTTGTGATTTCCAGGCCGGCGTCCAGCAAGGGGCGCTCGATTTCCGGGGGTCGTCCCTCGACCAGAAGACATCGCTCGTCCTGAGCACCGAGACCTCGGCCACCATCAAGGCCTCTGACACGCCGCTCTCCTTCACCCTCGAGGCCTGGGTGTGGCCCGCGCAGGCCAATCTCCGCCGACCACAGCCCCTGTTCGCCCGCTACCCGCGCACCCAGCCCATCCAGGGCCACTCCCGCGCCGAGTTCCTGCTCCAGCTGCAGGCCAACGGCAATCTCAATCTCTTCTTCGGCGGCGGCTCGGCCAACAAGGACCGCCTGGCGCTCAATCTCGACTGCGGTTTCAACGTCGTGCCCGCCGGCCGCTGGACCCACGTCGCCCTGAGCGTGGCCACCACCCCGGGACTGGTCAACCCGCGCGAGGCCCGGGTCTACCTCAACGGTCACCTCGCCTGCGAGTGGCCCGGCACCGAGGCCGCCAACACCACCTTTGGCGGCACCCGGCAGATCATGCACGACCAGCCCTTCGTCTTCTCGAAGTACGAGCTGGCCGACTGCGACGGCCCCGAGCGCCTGCAGACCTTCCACGGCCGCATGGACGAGCTGCGCGTGTGGGCCGGCGTGCGCACCCCGGCCGAGATCCTGGCCGCCTACGACGCCACCGACCTGTCGTCGACCACGACCACCACCCCCTACGCCGAGGCTCGCGCTAGTAGTCTGGTGGGCCTGTTCCACCTGGACCGCGAGTCAAGAGGCGAGGGGGAGGATGAGTCGTACGTGGCGCTCGATTCTTCCCCGACCGGCGCCAACGCCGCGTTCGAGGGCGAGATCGAGGGCCAGGCTCCGGTGTGGGTGCCCTCGTCGGCCCCTCTGGTGCTGCGAGTGGAGGCGACCAACTTCTTGCTGGCGCACCTCACCCTCTTCATCTACTCGGCCCACCCGAACGACACGTTCGCGGCGCAGATCGACGTGTCGGCGCTCAACCCGATCGAGTCCATCTACCGCGACGGCGGCGCGGCCGTCCTGGTGAACCAGGGCAACGTCATCACCGTCGCCGAAGGCTCACAGTACGTTTTCTTGGCATTCTCCACATTTCTCACACCATATCAACCATAGAGTGGCTACTATATATGAATGTAGGTTCCCTGTGGCCTATTTCCTGACCTCATCGCCGGTGAGTTACACTGCAACGGTGCGCTACCGTGCGGTGTCGTACGACGCGAGAGCTGAGAGTGCGCTGGTGGCTTCGGAGTGGGCCGAGATCGTGGTGCGGGTGGAGGTGACCGGGTGCGACGGCCAGGGCGGCGAGATGGACTGGTGCGGCGTGTGCGAGGGGGACGGTCGGTGCGAGCCGTACGGGTGCGACGGCGAGGGCAGCCGACTCGACGTGTGCGGCGTGTGCGACGGCTACGGCGAGTCGTGCCGGTGCTCGCTGGCCAACTGGCGCGGCTACGAGACCGAGGAGCTGGACAAGAGCGTGCTGTTCTACGACCTAGCTCACCTGAACGAGGCCATGGAGGCCATGAAGGGTGTGGTGGACGATGTCACCTCGCTCCTGCTGGAGAGCGACGACCGCCGGATCAGCTGCGCCAACGTGACCACGGCCCTGGCCAACGTCAAGCGGCTCCAGGCCAAGACCTACATCTACAACACCCTCTTCCTCGAGCCCTTCCTGGAGCTGCTCAGCTAAAACCATCAACAACAGGACAGTAGAAGAAATAGCAGTGAGAGATTGAGGCAAATGTTATGTGGTGAAGGTACACCTGCTTTTAATTAGGAAAGACAAATATACATACTGATTGAGGGTTGAGTGCTCCACTGGAACCTTTTTCCAGTTCACCATTTCCTGTGAATAGTGCAACAAGTTAGCAACTAGTGTGCACCTTGTGAACTTTTTGATTTAGTGGCACCATTCATGGGAGTATGTGGCACACCTTCACCTTGACACTGCACTCTGCCTCACTTCTGGAGGGTGGTGGTTTGTTTGGAGCCAGTCTTCAAGGGCCTTGACAAAGACAGCCTGCATCTTCCTTAACTTGTTGCTGGCATTGCCCAAGGGAACCCTGTAGAAGAGTTTGTGCTGGCCTGGCCTGTGGTAACCCTCTTGCTAGACCTGCCACCAAACACATTCTGCCAGCCATCCTAGCTCAGTAGCCCCGTTTGGCTAGCTCCTTTTGACACCCAAGCAAAGCCAGCTGCCATATTGTTATCACACAATATCATGATGCAACATTGAGCAGAGGCATGCCACATGAGCAGACCAAAGTACTTCCAGACCTGGTTGGTGACAACCACCTTGGCCTTGGCAAATCAAAAGTAAATTTTTAAAAATGCAAAAAGCATTAAATAAATAAATTGCATAATAAAACAGTGCCTTTAAATCTTTGCTTTTATCCAACATGGTCCTACCCAACATACACAGTGTAGGTGGATGATTGATCATGTACATCCATGTGCTTCCAGGCATTTGACCAAAGGCACGACCAGCCCATACTGCCCAAAAACGAAAACAATGTTAGGTGACTTTTATTTTTCAGCGGCGACGACAACGACAGCGATGACGTGCCTGCGTGGATAGTGCGGACCGACAGTCGCGGGGGTCGCGTGGTGTTTTTGTTTGATGGCGACGCAGGGCCGACCGCATAATCGGACGCGCTCCATCCATCTGGCGACTGGGGCTATCAAACAACCGGGCTGCGTTCTTGACGGTGCGCGGACTTTTCCTCGGCGATGGTGCGCATGAACTTGCTAGGGTCCGATGGGAGTGACGGTGATGAGGACGGTGGCGCATTCCGTTCTCGGTGGGTGGATGACGTGCTGCGGCTTTAGTGCGTACCACACAATCGAGAAAAAGGGTTGCGTGTTTTGTGGTGGTGTCGGCGGCGGTGGCGAAGACGTGCCCACCCTGAATT